TGTGTAGTAGATGATAAAAAAAAGATGTTATTTTATTAAAAAAATAAAAAACTTATTTAAAAAAATAACTAAAAAGTCATCTTACGTGTTAAGACTCTTGAATTCGAAAAAAATACATCTTGTTAAAATAAAGTATTTAACCGATGAAATTCGTCTTCAAATATATTTTATTTTGAATAAGACAAGATTTCGAGTTAGTATAACTCAGCGGTATGTATGAACGACTTCTAATCACTGGTTCATCTGTTCAAATCTGATCGTCGTCACTTAAGGTAAAATCTAATCCATTTGCCAGGGAAGACTAAGACCATCAAAAAATATTGATGGTGGCAACTCAGTTCGAATCTGAAATGGATTATCATATTTTTTTCAAAATTTTTAGTTTTTTTATGAAACGCGTCCAGACGCATTAAATGTTTCATCTGAGACGCGTTTTCGCTAAAAATGCGTTTGAACGCAAGTCAAGCTAGAAGCGCATTCACACGCGTTTCTAAAATAAATCGCGTTTAAACGCTTCGTTTGTTTCACTGGGGACGCGTTCAAACGCGTTCACTCTTAGCGTTTCGCACGCAAATGAAACGCGTTTCAGACGCGTTTTGAGGCAAAAAATATTTACATGGGTATATCTAATTATTGAATTTGTGATATGCGCGAGCCCAAGATGAGATTACACTTCAGAATGTCAAATTGACCTTATTGTTTTCTAATGAACACCATTGAGAAATTGAATGAATTGTTCCATAGTGGAACGATGGTAAGTGGCATCGGTTAGCTTACTATTTCAAGCAATACATACAAGCTCCTAGATCAGTAACTTCTCATTTATCTGGCAAAGACAGGCAATTTCGAACAGGATTACGATGGTATACAATTTATGCAGACTAGACTTTGATTGTTTTTTAATTCGGATGAAAAACAAGACAAATCAAGAAAGATTCATAACTTGCTCCATAGATGTTGATGTCTCTCATCGAAATTTATCAACATTTTCGTCATGTTCTCCAAACAAAAAACTCAGATGATGATTGATTTCTTCTTTTAAATTTAATTTACAGAATAACTATTTAAATGTCACTTTCTTGTGCATGTTACAATATAATGAACGATTATGATATGAAAAATGATAAAAATTAATCGAATATTTTACAAGATATGCATATATTTTTTAGAAATCTATCGACCTGTTGTATGAAAAATTAGATGGTCTCGAAGAGTTTTGTATTTGAAGATTTCAATAAATGACGTATACTATAGAAGAAAAAATAAAACAAATAGAGAATTGTAATAAACTACGAATCATTGAAATTCTTCTTAAAAACCTTTAAGAACCTTCTAAAAAATGTTTTTACTTTTGTTTAATTGATTTTTCTTTATAGAGTACTGAAACGTTCAAATGACATTATGCAGTAAATTGAAAATGTTTTCTCTTTTGTGACTTTCTAAAAATCCATTCAAAATATCGTACTTCTACAAGCAAGAAAAATACTGTTTTGATGCTCTAGAAAGTGAGTGCATATTCTAAAGAAAATAATAGATGTTGAAGGATAACTAGATCACTCTGGCTTTTATCATTACCTCTGTAAATATCCATTATTTCGACTTCAAATTTTTATCAAAATATATTT